TCCTGGCTACTGGTTTCTGTTGTTATCCTGGCTACTGGTTTCTGTTGTTATATCCTGGCTACTGGTTTCTGTTGTTATATCCTGGCTACTGGTTTCTGTTGTTATATCCTGGCTACTGGTTTCTGTTGTTATATCCTGGCTACTGGTTTCTGTTGTTATATCCTGGCTACTGGTTTCTGTTGTTATATCCTGGCTACTGGTTTCTGTTGTTATTTCCTGCTACAGGTTTCTGGTGGCTACTGGTTTCTGTTGTTATATCCTGGCTACTGGTTTCTGTTGTTATATCCTGGCTACTGGTTTCTGTTGTTATATCCTGGCTACTGGTTTCTGTTGTTATATCCTGGCTACTGGTTTCTGTTGTTATATCCTGGCTACTGGTTTCTGTTGTTATATCCTGGCTACTGGTTTCTGTTGTTATTTCCTGGCTACTGGTTTCTGTTGTTATTTCCTGGCTACTGGTTTCTGTTGTTATATCCTGGCTACTGGTTTCTGTTGTTATATCCTGGCTACTGGTTTCTGTTGTTATTTCCTGGCTACTGGTTTCTGTTGTTATATCCTGGCTACAGGTTTCTGTTGTTATATCCTGGCTACAGGTTTCTGTTGTTATATCCTGGCTACTGGTTTCTGTTGTTATATCCTGGCTACTGGTTTCTGTTGTTATATCCTGGCTACTGGTTTCTGTTGTTATATCCTGGCTACTGGTTTCTTGTTATATATCCTGGCTACTGGTTTCTGTTGTTATATCCTGGCTACTGGTTTCTGTTGTTATATCCTGGCTACTGGTTTCTGTTGTTATATCCTGGCTACTGGTTTCTGTTGTTATATCCTGGCTACTGGTTTCTGTTGTTATATCCTGGCTACTGGTTTCTGTTGTTATATCCTGGCTACTGGTTTCTGTTGTTATTCCTGGCTACAGGTTTCTGTTATATCCTGGCTACTGGTTTCTGTTGTTATTTCCTGGCTACTGGTTTCTGTTGTTATTTCCTGGCTACTGGTTTCTGTTGTTATATCCTGGCTACTGGTTTCTGTTGTTATATCCTGGCTACTGGTTTCTGTTGTTATATCCTGGCTACTGGTTTCTGTTGTTATTTCCTGGCTACTGGTTTCTGTTGTTATATCCTGGCTACTGGTTTCTGTTGTTATATCCTGGCTACTGGTTTCTGTTATTATATCCTGGCTACTGGTTTCTGTTGTTATATCCTGGCTACTGGTTTCTGTTATATCCTGGCTACTGGTTTCTGTTGTTATATCCTGGCTACTGGTTTCTGTTGTTATATCCTGGCTACTGGTTTCTGTTGTTATATCCTGGCTACTGGTTTCTGTTGTTATATCCTGGCTACTGGTTTCTGTTGTTATATCCTGGCTACTGGTTTCTGTTGTTATATCCTGGCTACTGGTTTCTGTTGTTATATCCTGGCTACTGGTTTCTGTTGTTATATCCTGGCTACTGGTTTCTGTTGTTATATCCTGGCTACTGGTTTCTGTTGTTATATCCTGGCTACAGGTTTCTGTTGTTATATCCTGGCTACAGGTTTCTGTTGTTATATCCTGGCTACTGGTTTCTGTTGTTATATCCTGGCTACTGGTTTCTGTTGTTATATCCTGGCTACTGGTTTCTGTTGTTATATCCTGGCTACTGGTTTGGTTCCTGGCTACTGGTTTCTGTTATATCCTGGCTACTGGTTTCTGTTGTTATATCCTGGCTACTGGTTTCTGTTGTTATATCCTGGCTACTGGTTTCTGTTGTTATATCCTGGCTAATGGTTTCTGTTGTTATATCCTGGCTACTGGTTTCTGTTGTTATATCCTGGCTACTGGTTTCTGTTGTTATATCCTGGCTAATGGTTTCTGTTGTTATATCCTGGCTACTGGTTTCTGTTGTTATATCCTGGCTACTGGTTTCTGTTGTTATATCCTGGCTACTGGTTTCTGTTGTTATATCCTGGCTACTGGGTTCCTGTGGTTTCTGTTGTTATATCCTGGCTACAGGTTTTGTGTTGTTATATCCTGGCTACTGGTTTCTGTTATATCCTGGCTACTGGTTTCTGTTGTTATTTCCTGGCTACTGGTTTCTGTTGTTATATCCTGGCTACTGGTTTCTGTTGTTATATCCTGGCTACAGGTTTCTGTTGTTATTTCCTGGCTACAGGTTTCTGTTGTTATATCCTGGCTACTGGTTTCTGTTGTTATATCCTGGCTACTGGTTTCTGTTGTTATATCCTGGCTACAGGTTTCTGTTGTTATATCCTGGCTACTGGTTTCTGTTGTTATATCCTGGCTACTGGTTTCTGTTGTTATTTCCTGGCTACTGGTTTCTGTTGTTATATCCTGGTTACTGGTTTCTGTTGTTATATCCTGGCTACTGGTTCTCTGTTATTTTCTGGCTACTGGTTTGTGTTCTTATATCCTGGCTACTGGTTTCTGTAAGCATCTTTACTATTGGTTTATGGCAGTACTATATCTTGGCTACTGTTTGTTGTTGTTGTTGTTGTTGTTGTTGTTGTTGTTGTTGCTACTGCTTTGTACTAGCTAGTGGTTTGTGTTTGTGGTTCATCTTGTTATCAGATACTAGCACGTATTTCAGAGTTGACTTAATACTCTGGCTTTTGTTGCTACAATATAATGGACAGTGGTTCTAGTTTGTTATCAGAGATACTTCTGGATGTTTCCCAAGCTCTGTTATCATGCAAGCATTTCGAAACAGATGAGTCTCACGTCTGTGACCTATATTTGCTTCAACAAGTTGCTGCACTTGAAATGTGTTTTCAGTACCAGAGCAATAATCCATATGTAGTTCAAGGTTATGGCACCACGAATGTCAGGCCGATAAGATAGCAAATAGCAGCAGCAGCAGCAGCAGCGCCATCACTTGCTGGAACTAACTCCCCCTTCCTTATCATACTCTTCTCCCCCATCCCCTTCCCCATCCTCCTCCTACGTTTGGCCAGGATGTGTGAAGTTTTCCCCACCTGGACCTTGTTGCAAAGGTGTTCCGGTGGTCATGAAAAGGCACGCCGCACATAGATGGAAGTCAAGCGTGAACTGCTGGGGATCGGCTGCTTTCATAGACTGCATGGTTCAGTTCTCTTGGATTAAAAACATGGTACCAGGGGAGCTGGTTCCAGCCATTCCCTGTCGGGTTCACCGTCAGGATACTATTGAACTGCTAATACTATTGAGTAGTACCCGGGGATATGGTGATTACAGAGAGGCCTGATTGTGTAGAATTTGATGGCATGGAGTATTGCTCAGGATATCTACACCTGGTTTGCTTCACCCAGAACATGAATCATTTATTTTTACCAAACAGTAGAACTTGAAGAGCCGGATTAGGTTCTGATTTGTAAATGGTCCAGGGCGGTGCGGTAGTCTAGTGGTTAAAGCATCTGCTCATGATATTGTTGGAATATTTCTAAAAGTAGCATAAAACTAAAGTAAACTCTCTCACTCATAAATGGTCCAAAGAGACATTATCACCATGTTGTTGAGTGCTGGTGGATGTGTTCGGTCTGTCATGTCAGTTAGAGAGGCATTTGGTTCCAAATCTATTGCAGGAATTGTACCTAGAGCTTGCCTAAGCTACTCTACATATGCATGACCCGGCACAAACGGCAGATCGGGTTATCTTCATTAAATAGGGGAGCAGAGAATGTTATTAATGTTGCGTTCGTGCGAAGCATGCATACATAGATTCGTTACAGAACTTGTCCCCGAAAACAACACTTCTGAAAAAACAATCATGTCATTGTTTATACAGTCATATGCTATCTAGTTGGGTTTACTAACTTTACAACGTACAGACGTCAGTTACTTTCTCAATCCGATTCACTCTCGATATCACTCTCTTCACCCAGTTCAATTATCACTTTTTCTATTTCATGTTCAACTGCAATATTTCTGTCCCAGTTGTCACTTTCCAAATTTTTAACATGGGCACAGCAATCAGTCCAGTCGGTTACACCAATCATCTGACAAAGGTGCACCCCTTCACAATAATAGACCCAACCAGTTGTGACACGGTCACGCAGTTCATTTGTATTCACTTGATCAGGTCAAGCTGAACAAGCTGTACATTGCAGTAGTGAGTGAGTGAGTTTAGTTTTACGCCGCACTCAGCAATATTCCAGCTATTTGGCAGCGGTCTGTAAATAATCGAGTCTGGACCAAACAAACATTGCAGTAGAGTACTGGTATATGATATGCAGGAATGGTCACATTCCCAAATATAAAAACCTTCTGTAGTTTATTACCCTCACAAAGAAAATGGGTGTGAGGGTGTTGTTTTATTTGATGCTTCTTAATAACCAAGTCTGGACCAGACAATCCATGACATCATGAGCATCTATCTAATGCAATTGGGATATCATGACAACCACGGACCAAGTCCCCTGACCATCAGATCAGGCTGGTTGCCTCTGATGATGCGCATCAGGTGCTGATGCTAAATTCTAACCCGTCCCTGTAAAGGTTACCAAAGTGTATAATGGAATGAATCACAATAACTATTATCTATTTTATGTCATAAATTGTGTCCTCACAAGTCACCACAAGCTACCTTCACTCTTTTCAGGGGTTGGGTAGCCTAATGGGTAAAGCATCTTCTCATCACGCTGAAGACCTGGGTTCGATTCCCTTCATGGGTAATATGTGTGAAGCCCATTTCTGGTGTCCCCTGCCATGATATTGCTGGAATATTGCTAAATGCGGCTTAAAACCACTTACTCACTCACTCATTCTTTTCATACTACCAGAGGCTACATTTTGTCTCAGCAGGTAATCAGGTTGAGCATAAGTTCTTGTTTAACAGGAGCTTACCCCTCTTGTGTCTTGTGTTTTAATAGAAACTATGTTTGAAAAATTAGTTAGATCAAACCTACGTAAGCAGGCTATTATTTGATTGTATTTTGATTCAAAGCAATGTTCAAGCATTTGATGATGCTCTTTAGTACGCCTTCATCAAGATACAATTTAACCTACAGTCATGACAATTTTTTCCCCAGGAGCCAGCAAAGAAGAAGAAAAAGAAGTCAAGGAAAGGACCTAAAGGGCCCAGCAGTGACAACTTTGACCGGCTCGTCCAGTCCTACAAGAGCAAGATGACTGCGGCAGGGCCGCAAGTCAGACAGAAGTGGTTCAGCTGATCTCGGCTGATCCTGCTTCATGATGTCAGCTGACCCTGGTTCAGCTGATCCTGTTTCATCTGATCTCAGCTGACCCTGGTTCAGCTGATCCTGTTTTGGCTGATCTTGGCTGACCCTGGTTCAGCTGATCTCAGCTGACCCTGGTTCAGCTGATCATCTGTTTGGGCTGAACTTGGCTGACCCTGTTTCATCTAATCTTGGCTGACCCTGTTTCATCTGATCTTGGCTGACCCTGTTTCATCTGATCTCAGCTGACCCTGATCTCAGGCTGGATATCAGCTGATCCTGTTTTGGCTGATCTTCACTGATCTCAGCTGACCCTGTTCAGGCTGATATCGGCTGACTCTGGTTTATCTGATCTTGGCTGACCCTGTTTCGGCTGGTCTCAGCTGACTCTGTTTAGCCTGATATCGGCTGACCCTGGTTTATCTGATCATGGCAGACAGTGTCATCAGATATCATGATAATGATGTGTTGCGAAATGGGCTTCATACATTGTACCCATGTGGGGAATCAAACCCGGGTCTTTGACATGACCAGCGAACCCTTTAAGCATTAGGTTTACCCCACCACCCCTAGCTATTGTTGAAAACTAGACGAAGAGAAGAACATAACTCCCCATGATTAGAATATTTCATTTAATGACTCTCATAAATGTAGTTGCAGTATTGGAGGTAATTGACCATCGTAAGTTGATATGACAGTAGCAGATTTATTACTATTGTAAATTGATATGACACTATATGAGCTATTGAACGTCATAAACTGAAATGGGAGGAAGCAAGATAATGAAAATCTTGATTTGATATCATCGGGTTGATGTTAAGGACTTTAGGTAAATATGATAATTTCAAAGTTCATGTCAGTACTATGTGAAATGGGTTTAATGTGGCTTCAAGATTATTGAAGTTAAATAGTGACTTGCATGTGTGTGTGTGTGTGTGTGTGTGTGTGTGCGTAACAGGATAAATGTTTGTGCTAAAGTGCTAGCCCATTCAGAAACCATGGCATAGTCTGACAAAGCACCGCCTCTCAAACACTGTATACCGACTCTGAGCCAACCCTCCATTGTTTAACTCAAGGGGCAGTGTGGTCGTCAAGTGGTTAAAGCATTTGCTCCTCAGTCGGAAACACCAGGGTTCGATTCCCAACATGGGTACAAGTATGAAGCCCATTTCTGGTGTCCCCTGCCGTGATATTGCTGGAATACTGTTAAAGTGACTTAAAACTTAATTCACTCACTCACTCACTTGTTTAACTCCTCAGTGTCAATCACCAAACAGGATGACAAGAAACAGTTTCTTTGGTATAATGCTTCCAGAGATCGAACCTCTCCCCACTAGACCACTGAGGCAGTGAGACCTTGTTTGTTAAATACCACATAGCATTCATTAGGAAGCCAAAAGTCAGTTTGATGTACAGGATGTAAAACTATGGTATTTAGATGTTAAAACAAAGGTTTAGGGCTGAAGCAAGTCTATGAAAAGAATGGGTTTTATGACAGTTGTATCCTGTGATCACTTGGAACAGCACTCCGTGGAGAGGTTCCAGGTATGTGTGGAATGGCACAAGGCCGACGTAGAGCTCCATACAGAAGTAGGTTGTTAAAGAAATATCAAGAAATAGGTCTGCTGGTGTTTTTGTGAGTGTTTACACAATAGATGGTGCCTATCCTATGAGAAATACATTAAACTGACAGTAGAAAAAGGATGACAGCTATTCCGGGAGGAAGAGTCCTGTATGTACTGAGCTGGAAGGTCGTTACATTAGAGGTGAGTTGTCTCATACAAATGTAATTGCTCTACATTCTTGTTGAATAAAACAGGTGCTTGTCAGGTATGGTAGACATTCTGTGGTCTTGAATAAAGCATATGCCTTATTGTGGGTGTTTCTTTGTTCTTCAACAGATGGTGATGGAAAAACTGGCATCATAAATTAGTCCCAAGGCAACATAGCTCCTGACTGTTTCAATTGTGTGGGGGGTCATGACATCCTCGAGTTGTACTGTGCAGAGTTGTGTCCCTTGGACATGCTAGAACTGTGATCATGGTTCAAATCCTGGTTTGCCTGGATTGGTATGTTGTGGGGTTTGTCTGGAGCTTATCCTTCACTTGAGTTTGAGAAGGTAGTAAACATCGGAGACCAGCATCACTTTGGTTATCCTTCCATGTCCTGACATACACTGTCAAACACTGACATATCAAACGCTGTCTTGAAGGAAAGCTTGGTCCCTGCATATTCTTTTATAACTTAATTTGTCCTTTACGTCAAACCATGGATAATAAATTAATACATCATTTGATGTATGTCTCATAATCTTATACTGATGTATACATGTTGGACACATTGATATGTCCAGGTCATTCCTGGGGTCAGGGGCTGTGGGGTAGCCTAGTGGTTAAAGCTTTGGCTCGCCACGCTGAAGACCCTGGTTCGAATCCCCACATGGGTACAATGTGTGAAGCCCATTTCTGGTGTCCCCGCCGTGATGTTGCTGGAATATTGCTAAAACCGGTGTAAAGCCATACTCAGTCAGTCATTCCTGGGGTCATAGTCTGAAGAAATGTATGTTTAAACTAAACTCATTTAATGGGTGGCTGGTAATGTGAAAGCTTAGAAATGACCGTAAAGCTTTGTACAAGGCTTATGATAAGCAGCAATTTTGCATAAATACCCAAAATAAATCACCATCACAAATTAAATTGCAACAAGCGAAGAAATACGTTTGAATTCTTCATACTGAACACTAGTATAACAAAGTCGTAATTGTGCAGTGTGGTATTTTCACCTTGTGTACATGTATTTCTTTAAACAGTGAGTGAGTGAGTTTAGTTTTATGCCGCACTCAGCAATATTCCAGCTATATGGCGGCGGTCTGTAAATAATCGAGTCTGGAGCAGACAATCCAGTGATCAACAGCATGAGCATCGATCTACGCAATTGGGATGGCAATAGTCGCCTCTTTCGACATGCATGGGCTACTGAAGACCAATTTTAACCCGGATCTTCGCGGGTCTTTTCAAACAGAACTTTACCAATCCATGGTAGACATCACACTTACGTGAACTCAAATGCAACGTTTATTCATCTCGCTTTTTGTACATTAGACATGCACATCACTGTTGAGGCTGCACACGAACAGATACAAGTTTAGCATGTGTAACTTCGTGTCAGAAAACACCCGTGAAGATCCGAGTAGTCCATGCTTGTCATAAGAGACGACTAACGGGATCGGGGTTCTCAGGCTCACTGGCTTGGTTGACACCAGTCGTATCCCAACTGCGCAGATTGATTCTCTATAGATATGTCTTCTCGTCGATGTTAATACTGAGTAAAGTAAACTATATTGAACCCACGCGTCCCAACCTCCCAAAACTACCTACAATGGCTGACAGTTATCTGGATCCTAGTTTGTAAGAATGTAGTTTCTGAATGCAGTCAGGACTGGTTACACTACTGAACTAATCCCTGTGCCTGTGTTCCAGCTGACCAGGATTCAGCTCTTTAAGTGATCTCAGAGCAAAGGTAACACCAATACTGTGACATCGGCTAAAGATAGTCGTAGAATAGCCTTGCTCCAAGGCTGTACTGAATGCTGTGGATTTGTAGTGATTCTATCCTTTAAAGAGGCAAGTCTAGATAAGCGGACAGGACGTTTGTCTGTTGTTTATATATTTATAAAAATTTCATTTAAACTATTAATTATTACCTTATCTTAGAGACTTTTTGAAAGTCTAAGGACGCTTGTCTGTTATTTATATTTTTTTAAAAATTTTCATTTAAACTATTAATTATTACCTTATCTTAGAGACTTTTGCAAGTCTAGTCGTAGCTCTGAGATCGCCTTGTGGAACGGCCCGGGTGATGCTGTAGTCATAGTGTCAGAGTTACAGCTTGTCTGGAAGAAGCATTCCGGCCCATCATACAGTGACGTACAGGTGCTCACTTTTGATTCAGGAAACAACTTCAGCCTCTTAGATTTAACAGCTTGATTTTCAGATTATGATTCCCGATGAACAGTGTTGGTTGTCCATGTGTGAACAAAAACTTTATTTTTGTAAAGCATTTTTCCAAACTATTTGTAACATTTGGCAGTCAGTAGGGTAAACAGAGGTGTTAAGCAGTCAACTACTTTCAAAGTCCATTTTAGTTCTGAAGATCTTGTCAGATATTTGCAGGAAGGACTTCTCAAAATAGTTTCCGAACTTCGTATGTTTGAGGCTTCTGCAGGTGAAGAAAGGTCTTTTCTCAATATTTTTCATTATTTCACACTTTTACTCTGATAACCCATTTCTGGTTTCCCCGCCGTGATATTGCTGGAATATTGCTAAAAGCAGCGTAAAACCATACTCACTCACTCACGCTAACTGATAAAAAAAGTAATAAAATGGACATTTAAAATTTTCCCAAAGTACCTCTTCTGGTCACATTTCTTGATTTTTGTTTCAGCAAAGAAAATTTCCAAAACAACATTCACCACAAGTCCCTGTCCTCTCTGTAAGCTACCGCCTCCGTGGTGTAGTGGTTAGAGCGTCCGCCCGGAGAGTGGATGGTCGTGGGTTCGATCCCCGACCGCGTCATACACGACCGCATCAATTGGTACGACAAAGACTGGTCGGCTTGGAGTCAGTATAATGTGTCTGAGTGGGGTATTCATGCTTCACTGCGGCATGGTATCTCAGTGGGCTAGCACTATAAACCAAGTCTGGGCTAGTACAAGCAGCCGCACATACACATACACACGCATGCCCGTCGTCATATGAGCGAAATATTCTCCAGCACGACGTTAAACCCAATTTCACCTCACCTCACCTCACCTCACCTCACCTCACCTCACCTCTCTGTAAGCAGCACGAAGTGAGACATACTCATTTAATCCTGCGTTCCACTTTAAATTACCCTACCTGGAAATTTGTGAGTTAAATTAGGCAGAACTTTGTGGACTTCACAATACGTCTCGTGATAATCAGTTCTGTTTGATGCTGATACAGAATGGTTCTTGCTACCAACCTGGAAGATGGCAATCATAGGTATGATATGAACAATGTTTCAACTAGTCGTAGCTCACCTAACTGAACAAAGGCGTTAGTAGGACCGATATAGGTCAGTCGCGATCAGGAACAGAAACAGGTATCAACAAATATCAGAAGCCAGTGATGCTCGTAGGAGGCGATGAATGTATCAGGTGGCCAGACTAGTTGAATTGGTTTCATTACATTTCATTGTACCTTACAGCATGAACAGTTGCTCATGATATCGACCACTGGATTGTCTGGTCCAGTGTCAGTCCGTAACTAGCCACATATCAGACAGCTGGAATATTGTTGACTGAAGCTTAAACAAGAATAAACAAGAAACACAGTGTGTGATCAATCTCTGGAATATTAAGTCCACTAGAACCATCCCACAATGGAAATGTGTTTTTAATGACTTAATTTCTTTCAACTCTCTTTCTTCATAATTTTATCTATATATACCGTACGAGTTTCACACAAGATATCATTCAAGAGTTATCTTTGTCATGAACATGCCATGCCTTCCCATTAAAAGTTCAGATCTGTATGAATCGATGCTTGTTGCCGGAGAGCCAATCATGGCCAAGATAAGCAGAGTGCAACAGGCTGGGAAGACCCTTGAGTTTATGGGTTCCTCTTGTGTAAATAATTTGCATGATCTCTGAATAATGTCTATATGGCTTAAAAGTACTTGACTGTTTATAAACAGCTTTAAAATAGCCAACTATAAATACATCTGATTATTCAACTTTCTTGTAGTGTTCTCAGTAACCTATACTATGGAAATAGGCTTCTGTGTTGAAACAAACCTGAGCAAGAGAAGAGAAAGTACATGTGAAATATAAAACTCAATGCCAGAGACTGACCAGTCTCGAATATCTGCCGATAACTTGAGGTTCTTTTTAGGTGAACTGATTTCCACATTTTTCTTCTTGTATGTACACACAACCAGGGCACGAAGGTTGATTTTGTGCAATAATTGGGTTGTTATTACAAATGTCTGGGTTAAATGATTATGTCAGTTTTTACTGAACTACTGTGTGTAAAATTCAAACTGGCGGTGACAACATATATGAATATATTAACATCGAGGAAACGAACAAAGTTTGACAAATATTGTATCACAGTATATGTTATTGAAAACTGGAAATATTACAGACTAACTGACCACGTTCCTCAATCTTGAACCTGGCAAGGGTCACATTGATAGCGAACATCTGACATAATCCGAGATCAGTATCTCCTAAGCTAACAGAGAACGCCCACTGTGGTGATGTGTAGAGTATTGATTGAACTGCTGCATTCCGTTGTATGTGTAACGAATCTACACGTGTTGTTTATGTACTTTGATAGCTGATTACATTGTGAACATGCTGTAATAATTAATTAACCATTCTATTTTTGACAGAGTATGTAAAAAAAATGTCCTGCACTGTGCAATAAACTCGTTGTATATGTACTCAGGTCTAGTGGTGTGTGGGGTGGTAAAGTGGAACGTCTAGTCAAGCGAGATAATTCCCCAAATACCTGCGTTTTAATAAATAGTTTATTTGGAGCACTGAGAACCAGTGATGACACTACGTGTTCGGGAGATACAGAAGCACATGCTGATTTATAGATACCACTCACCCAGTTTGCATTGAAAAGTAAGTGTGTTGCAGGACACCGAACAGCAGTACTCCTGGACCAGACAATCCAGTGATACGACAGTGATGATCATTTACTTTCTGAAACTGAAAACAATATGTCAGTTTTGAATTACGTCTTGGGTACACAAGCGCACACAGTAGGAGGGCAATCTGACAACGTGTGGAGTCAAATAATCAAATCGTTTCTTTGTCACAAGTTGGTAGAATAAGCAGA